TATATATATACAAATGTGTACAAGCTGTGGTATCTGGGACATTTTGTAGGATCCGCTGTGTTGTGAAGGAGCGCAAAACATGGCTTGAGCAAGAGCTACACTTGAATCCTTTTCCACGGAGTTGGAATGTTTCAAGGATGAAGCAACAACTTATGGAGCTTTGCTGTCAGGGGAAGGTTCGTGCAAAGCTAAGTTGCAGCAAACACTGGGTCCAAATACTGATACACCCAAGGGCATTCTATGTGATAGTCCTCCGGCATGTTTTGCACTCACGCCCAGGACGCGTGGAGGAAGCGATTCTCAAGGCCATTTGTCCGGGATCTTTTGGAAGAATGTGGATCAATGACAGTGGCATGTTTGAAGCTTCCGTTCAACAGGGTCCAAAGACCATCAACCGAACTTTCAGCACCCCTTCCAAATGTCACGCCTTTCTTTTGGAGATGTCAGTGGAGCTGCATACTGGGACATCCGGCAAAGCAGCCCTGGCTACTTGCCTACTGTTATGTCGCTTTCTTGGATGCGTTGATCCCCAATTCTTGTGTGTACACATAGATACACCAAATGCATGAATGGATGGACCCCCACCAAAAACGGCCGCATTCTAAGTGTGTTTCAGTCCACCTTAGACCACGCAAGGCTCTCCATGAGTCTGCGCTGGAGAAGAAAGCTTTGGGATTTGGTGAGATTCCTTTGGAGCCAGACAATGAGAGGCAAGTGGCAGAGGCTGAGGACATTACGGACCAGATGCTGAAGCCTCCGGAGGAGACCAAACCTTCGCTGCCCTATGCCAAAGTCCGCTTGCTGAAGGGTGCCTTGAATTCTTTCCAAGCTTGGCAAGCCAAATCTTCCAAATGCATGGGCGTGATTCTTGGACGCCAAGCCGGTGCCAACTTTGATGGTCTCAAAATCATCGTATCATGTGACCACTCTTTGACTGAGTTGGTGGGGCATGAGAAGGTGGTGCAGCTTTGCCAACAAGAGAAGCTGGTTCCTTGTGGTCTGATCTTGGGGGAGGACAAAAACAGGCCCGAGATTGAAACCCTGTTGGACAACATGGTCACCAAAGCACCAGCTGCCGTTTGCATCTTCGCCGCTCGGCATTCTATGTGTGAGTGTCTGTGTGGGCGGGCGGGCCTGTTTTCCTCCTCCTGCTTTGTTGGTTTGCTTGCCACAGATTGCTTTTCTCTAAAGGATTGCTTGTCGTCTTTAAGGTCAACATCACGTGCTATGGAGACATCAGCCTGTTTCAAACAGAGCCTCAACTGGAAGCTTTTGCGGGCAGGACTCCAACCTTTGCGCGTGCTCCGAAGGATCTGCTCGGCAACCTCACTTGGCTGAACGATTTGTTTGTGACCAACAAGGAGAGGTTGAAGGGCAAGGTGGAAGATGCTATCATCCGTTCAGCCCTGAAAGAACCTTGTCGGGAGAAAACAACGTCTATCAAGAGACCTGTGGCCTACAAGCAAATCCATGTGGCTGGTGATGGTCGGTGTGGATGGCGCGCCATCAAGGCATTTGAAGACATCAAGCGGTTTCAATCAGTTCCAAGGACAGCTGTTCATTGCATGGGTACCTTTTGCTGTTCATTGCATGGGTACCTTCAAGCCTGATCAAATCCCAACCATTCCAAAAATATCTTCAAATGGTTGGTGAGGAATGATGCAGCGTACCCCATTCACTCAGTCCAGAATGAGAGGGAGGTCGAGGAAAGCGCGGGACTATGCGAGCAGGTATGTTTGCACCTTAGCTTCTGCCGTGTAGGCTGATGGATATATGGACTGCGCTCAAAAAGCCCTACTCAAAAAATATAGATAAACGTAAACTTTTAAGGTTGGAGATGTGTTGTTAAGTCTTCGTTTAGAAGGGGGCCCCCAGCAGGCTATGGTGATACAGCAAGGCAGCGCTAGATTGGCGCTAGGTTGGCGCTAGATTTCTTCATAACAGGATAAGCAAGCAGGAAAAAGAAACAAGCAGAGACTGAGAGCAGGAAAAAGAAGAAACAAGACTAAGACAAGAAAAAAAAACAGAAGAAGAAGAAGGATGCACAACAAGAAGAAGACAAGCAAGCAGGACAAATAAGAATCTGACAGGATATAGAAATCGACGGATATTTTTGCGCTAGGCTGGCGCTAGATCCGCGCTAGCACCGCGCTAGACGACGGTCCATTTCTTGACCATTTGCAAATCCAACGTCCAAATCCTTTGAGTCAGCTCTTACATCCTTCCTACGTCGTCCTGAAGATTTCTGAGAACAAAAGTAAGAAAGTCCAGCAGCAGCAGTAGCAGCAACAACAGCTCCAGCAGCTCAACAGGCCCCTGAAAAGGTCCGCGCTAGACACCTCTCACAGTTTTTGCAGTTGGCACGCCTTCATGTTTAACGTCCCTGTGGTTTGAGTGTGCTTGGAGTCTAAAGGAGATTTAGAAGCGGGCCCCCATGGAATTGCGATGAGTGCACCATTTTGGGAAAAACATTTTGGAAACCAACCATATATATAGCCTTTGATGCACTCAGGATCCACGATAACATTCTAAGTGTCAGTCCAACGGTATAGAAGAAGGGAAACATGCCGCGCCTCTCCTTCAGGTGCTATGGCAGCTGAGCGCTTCCCCGAGCATGGGACATCCATCCAAGAAGTGCGAGAGCAAGGTGTATTTGGCCCTGAACACTTGCATTGGATTGCAAGTTGTTTGCCATTTTCTGTAAGGTTGACAATGGGGAAAGAGACGCATGCTGCCGTGCAACGGCATTTGCCGGACATCCAGATTGATGCGGTCTATGGAGCTGGAAATGTTGGGGCTCACCTCTACTTTTCATTCAAGGATGCCAGAGAAGGAGGCAAACAGTTTGGGCATTACGACGCGTTGATTCCATGCGACTGTCCCTACGTGCTTGCCAAATACTTTGCTCGTCTTGTTCCTTGGGCAGCATGTTGCAGTAGACTTGCAATGGTTGGATTGGCAAAGCACACCAAATCTATATAGCAGGATGATGCGCCCAAAGCGGTCGCTCCATCCATTGCCTTGCAGGACAGACAGGCATGATACGGTAGGATATCTGTATTACAGTTGTCAAAGGCATTCCAAGTGATTGGGGTTCTTTCTCAAAGAAGATGAGACACCGGGCCAGGCAGAACCCATGCAACAACCTTTTGCAGAATCTGCGCAGGCTTCACCCAGCAAGGACTCTAGATGTGTGTATAGATACAGTACATATACACATAGTTTTCTTGAGTGGAACAGGTTCAGCTTTGTGTACTGTTGTTTTTCTATCAGGAGACGGTCAAAAGACGCCACCTTCCGTGGAAGGCCTTGCAGGGGTGTTCTTTTTCTAATATCTCGGAGATATTGCACGGGGCACAGAACAATATTGGTTTCTATAATGCAAAAAAATGCAGAAACTCTATATATATATATACTATATATGTATGTATCTATTCCGGCACCGTTTCCTCCGTCCATGGCAGGCGGAAACTCCGCAACCAGAAGATGGAACAGAGGCAGGATTAGACAACCTTCTGAAAACACGGGGCTTCATTCTCAGAAGCGCTAGGTGAAAGCTACGTCACAGGAAGTGCCCGCTGCAGAACAACCTTATCAGAGCACAGAGGCATGTTCTTTGTTTAGGTGTTTCCGGAACATGGTTTTTGGAAGGCATTCTAAGTGAGTGAAGCTTCTGCAGACATATGTTGCATGAGGCCAAGAAAAATGATCCATTCCATAGGTTGAAGGCTTTGTCAATACTATATATGATTAATATGTCTGTATATTTGACGACATTGATTCCTCCATGGCAGGCGGAAACTCCGCAACCAGAAGATGGAGCTTCGGATGCACCTGGAGAGGCAGGATGAAACGATCTTCTGAAGGGCTTCATTCTCAGAAGCGCTAGGTGAAAGCGAGATCACAGGAAGTGCCTGCTCCCGAACGACCGGGTGAGAGCGTGCAGGCATGTTATGTGTTTAGGTGTTTCCGGAACATGGTTTTTGGAAGGCATTCTAAGTGAGTGAAGTTTCTGCAAACATGTGTTGCATGAGGCTAAGAAAAATGATTCATTCCATGGGTTGAAGGCTTTGTTCATACTATGTCTGTATATTTGACAGCATTGATCCCTCCATGGCAGGCGGAAACCCAACCAACAGATGGAGCTTTGGATACACCTGCAGAGGCAGGATGAAACAATCTTCTGAAAACACAGGGCTTCATTCTCAGAAGCGCTAGGTGAAAGCGAGATCACAGGAAATGCCTGCTCCCGAACGACCGGGTGAGAGCGTGCAGGCGTGTTCTTTGTCTTGGTTTTTGTTGGAACATTGTTTTTGGAAGGCATTCTAAGTGAGTGAAGCTTCTGCAGACATATGTTGCATGAGGCTAAGAAAAACTATCCATTCCATAGGTTGAAGGCTTTGTTAATACAATGTATGTATATTTGACGGCATTGATTCCTCCATGGCAGGCGGAAACTCCGCAACCAGAAGATGGAGCTTTGGATGCACCTGCAGAGGCAGGATGAAACAATCTTCTGAAAACACGGGGCTTCATTCTCAGAAGCGCTAGGTGAAAGCGAGATCACAGGAAGTGCCTGCTCCCGAACAACCGGGTGAGAGCGTGCAGGCGTGTTCTTTGTCTTGGTGCTTGTTGGAACATGGTTTTTGGAAGGCATTCTAAGTGAGTGAAGCTTCTGCCGACATATGTTGCAGGCATTGATGCCTCCATTTCAGGCGAAAAACCAACCAAAAGATGTAGCTTTGGATGCATCTGCAGAGGCAGGATTAGACAACCTTCTGAAAACACGACTTTTTCTTTCTCAGAAGCGCTAGGTGAAACCTACGTCACAGGAAGTGCCTTCTTATCTATGAATATATATACGCAATGTATATATACAAATATATTTATATATATATATACTATATACATGTGCGGAGATGCCCACAGAGATTTCTTTGGAGGATCCAGATGTAGATCCAGATGTATTGTTCGGACAAAGACTTTGGCAGCGCATGTTGGAAGAGGAGCCTGAGTTTGATGTGCTGGGTAAGGTTTGTGGGGGAACTTGTGCGTTTGGAATTTTGGAGGACTCCTGCAGTGAAGTTGCTTCGGAGGAATTGAATGTATTTGCACAGGCAGGATTAGGCAAGCTGCTTCCTTGGATGCCCGGCTTCATTTTCAGAAGCGCTAGGTGAACTCTACATCACAGGAAGCGCCCGCTCCCGAACAACCTTATCAGAGCACAGAGGCATGTTCTTTGTTTAGGTGTTTCCGGAAAATTGTTTTTGGAAGGCATTCTAAGTGAGTGAAGCTTCTGCAGACATATGTTGCATGAGGCCAAGAAAAATGATTTATTCCATAGGTTGAAGGCTTTGTCAATACTATGTCTGTATATT